GTTTGGTTCCCCGCGGCTGTTTGCTCGCCGGAAGTCGTTGACTACCCTGGATCCTGTTCCCAGGTCTGTTTATCCCCGAAGTTGCTAGTTACAAGGGTAGTTGATTCACTGACTTGTCTCTTCCCTGGGTTGTCTCCCAGAGTCGTTGATCCCTAGGTCATTTTTCCAGAGCTGTTATTCCCCCGAGTTCTTGGTTCCAGAGTGATTGTTCCTGGGTTGTCTTCCCTCAAATTTTGGTTCCTGGGTTGTTGGTTCCCACGGTTGTTGGTCCCGGGTCGTTTTCCCCGAAATGTTGGTTCCTGGGTTGTTGGTCCCTGGGTGGTGGGTTCCTGGGTTGTTTTTCCTGAGTTGTTGGTTCCTGAGTTGTTGGTTCCTGAGTTGTTGGTTCCTGAGTTGTTGGTTCCTGGGTTGTTGGTTCCTGGGTTGTTTTTCCTGAGTTGTTGGTTCCTGAGTTGTTGGTTCCTGAGTTGTTGGTTCCTGGGTTGTTTTTCCTGAGTTGTTGGTTCCTGAGTTGTTGGTTCCTGGGTTGTTGGTTCCTGGGTTGTTTTTCCTGAGTTGTTGTTTTTCCTGAGTTGTTGTTTCTCCTGAGTTGTTGGTTCCTGGGTTGTTGGTTCCTGGGTTGTTGTTTCCTGGGTTGTTTTTCCTGGGTTGTTGGTTCCTGGGTTGTTTTTCCTGAATTGTTGGTTCCTGGGTTGTTGGTTCCTGAGTTGTTGGTTCCTGGGTTGTTTCTCCTGAGTTCTTGGTTCCTGAATTGTTGGTTCCTGGGTTGTTTTTCCTGAGTTGTTGGTTCCTGAGTTGTTGGTTCCTGAGTTGTTGGTTCCTGGGTTGTTTTTCCTGAGTTGCCAGTTTCTGAGTGTGTTGGTTCCTGAGTTGCTGGGTTCTAGTGGTGTTGTGTCCCCCACCAGCAGGCTCCTGTTCTGTGCGTTTCCACACTCGCAGTGTTCTGGTGTTGCTGGCTCTCATGCCGTCTAGTTCTCACGTTGCTGAGTTGGTTCTCCGAGGTCTCATGGAGGGAGGGAAAACGCTGCTGCAGGTTCCAGTGTTCAGGTGAGGCAGGGCGGAGTCATCAATGCCAGGCGTGTGGTGTCCGCTGTGCCTGGCCACGTGTGCCCAGGACTGGGAGCAGAAGGGAAGGCGTGGGAAGAGCAGGCATTTCATAGCCCACGCCACACAGCACCAGCCAGGCGCAAACGCAGCCAGGAGGCAGCGGCGGTGATGAGTTCACCCCAGGGCGTGGCCGGAGGCCGGGCTCCTGACCCCAGAGGCCTCCAAGAGAATCAGAGCCGTCAGCAGGGTGTTTTTTTAAGTTTTTAATTATTAATTGAGAGGTAGAGTTACAGAGAGGCAGAGAGAGAGAGACAGAGAGACAGAGAGAGAGGTCTTCCATCCGCTGGTTCACTCCCAGATGGCCTCAACGGCCGGAGCTGCGCCAATCCAAACTCAGGAACCAGGAGCTTCTTCCAGGTCTCCCATGCGGGTGCAGGGACCCCAATACTTGGGCCATCTTCCACTGCTTTCCCAGGCCACAGCAGAGAGCTGGATCAGAAAAGGAGCAGCTGGGACATGAACCGGTGCCCATATGGGATTCCAGCACCACTAGCAGAGGCTTAGCCCACTACACCACAGTGCCAGCCCCATCAGCAGGGTTTTCACCAGGGGAAGCACTCGGCTAAGATAGTGCTAACCCTTTGGTTCTATCAAATAATGAGCGATACCAATTTCTCATATGTCTCAGCAATTGTGGATTAAAGAAAGGTTTAAAAAAAAAAAAAGGGCCTGGCACTGTGGCACAGCGGGTTAATGCCCTGACCTGCAGCACTGGCATCTCATATGGGCGTGGGGTTCTAGTCATGGCTGCTCCTCTTCCGATCCAGCTCTCTGCTGTGGCCTGGGAAAGCAGTAGGAGATGGCCCAAGTGCTTGGGCTCCTGCCCCCGTGTGGGAGACCCAGAGGAAGCTCCTGGCTCCTGGCTTCGGATCAGCACAGCTCCAGCCGTAGTGGCCATCTGGGGAGTGAACCAGTGGAAGGAAGACCTCTCTGTCTCTCCCTCTCACTGTCTGTAACTCTACCTCTCAAATAAATAAATCTTTAAAAGAATAAAGAAAGAATTGGGCACAGAAGACACAAGCTGTTTGGGGATCTAAAGCCAGCACACGGGGCGGGGTTTGGCGGTGTGGTCGCGGGCATCTCGGGGCGCCTGCGCCCCACAGCACGCCTGCATTTTGTTCCAAGCCCAGCTCCCTGCTAAGGCACACCCTGGGAGGCAGCGGGCGGTGGCTCCCAGGTTGGGTCCCCGCCACTCACACAGGACATCTGGACTCGGTTCCCAGCTACCGGCTGCAGCCTGGCCCAGCTGTTGCAGGCATTTGAGAAGAGAACCAGTGGGCAGGAGCTCTGTCTGTCTCTTCCTTTCAACTATATCAAATAAATACAATTTACAACAAAACGGCACCATTTACGTGCTATTAGGAGCCCAAACCTGCTTGTGTGATCTCTGTGCTCCAAGGCCCCTGCCTGGGCAGCTGCCCCCGGCCTTGACCTGGCCCTCGAGAGATGCCTCCAGCCAGAGGACGCACTGTCCCCAGGAGCCGCAGGTGAGCATCGCGCGACTGTGTGCGCCCAGGGGCACTGCGTCTCAGCACCCTCCAGGGGTGCGGCACCGCGGCCCTGCACTCCCCGACCCCACAGAGCCGGCAATCGCTCTGCACTCACATTTCTGTCCTGCTCCCACTCACATTCCCGCCCCCATGTGTTCTCACACACTTACGTAGTACACTTGTCCTCACCCACACCCACACCCACACACTCATCACTCACACCCCGCAGTCACACGCACAGGCCCAGCTGCGAGGACACACAGTCTCCCAGCCCGAGTCCTCCCCGCCCCGGGCGCCACGCCTGTGGCCATCAGCAGCGTCCTGGGGGGCCTGGTTCTTGTGGACCCAGCACACGTCTCTACACTGCCTACGTTAAACATGAACACATTCCTTAGTCAACCAGGAATCCTCACTTTGCCCTGCGAACAGAGCCAGCGTTACTGCGCGCCATCACCCTGGAAGTGAGCGCCCTGGAAACGAAACGGCGCCATCTACAGGGACTTGGGGAGAATTTCTCTAGGCCAGAGCAGCAGGGGACAGCAGGGGTGGCCTCTCACGGCAGCCACGCATTTGACAGGAGCGTCCTTGTACCTGGGTCAGTTCCCAAGGCGCACGTAGGCCACGGCATCCGGAGCCTCCCGAGCCAGGGCTGCCCCCACTGCCCTGAGACTCGGGCTGGCTGGCGGCCAGTAGACCCGGCCAGCCTGAAGACGGTGCTCAGGCCGGGGCTCTGAGGGGCAGCGTGGGTGTCCCCCTCCAGGCCCAGGCCCCGGGGCAGCCAGACTGCAGAAAGGAATGGCGTCTGTGAAGCAGGCGTTTGCTTGAGGCTCCCCTGTGAGCTTGTGGAGCAGACGTGGTGACCGAGACGAGGGCTCGGGCTTCGGTGACCACAGGCAGGGCCATGGCTTCGGTTTCCCACTGCTCTGGCTGAGCACTGGGACAAGAGGCCTCCAGGCCCCTGAGGGGATGGGCACCTGCCTCTGAGACTTGGCCACACTCGTTCTAAACAAACTCCACACCCACTGTGCAGCGAACGACGCTCGGTGTGGCCTGAGCCTTGGGCTCGTGTTGGTGGGGGCGGCCGCAGCCCAAGCACACGGGACCCAGCCCAGCCTCCCGGACCCTCAGACGGCTGCGTTTAAAGAAAAGCCTCCGGCCCTCAGCTGAGGCCATCAAGAGGCCCGCGGGGACAGCAGAGAAGAGACCAGAGTCAGAGACAGAGAGACATGGGCAGGAAGACCGAGACAGTCAGAGACGGAGACAGACAGGGCCCGAGGCAGGCAGAGACTCAGGCACTCGACACAGGGCGAGCCCCAGGCAGCGCGCGGCTCCCCAGGGCGGTTTGGGACCTTTCTCTTCTTCAGGAGTCTGTGGTTTGCTGGGGGCCTGGGGGGGGCGCCAGGGCACACTCACTTTTTGGGCCTGTAGTCGGGGATGGTCCTGTCCAGGGAGATGCGGTCGCTGAGCTGGGCATTGTACCCGTACTCCTCGTACTTGACGTCTGTCTCCTGGCTGTCCGTGCGGAGCGTGGCGGCCACGCCCCCCTGGCCCAGGCCGCCTGGCCCCTCCACCAGACCGATGGGTTTGGCAAGGCCTGGAGGGGAGATAGGAAAACAGAGAGCTCAGGCAGACCGCAGGCCCCACCCCTGAGTTATCCCCTGGGACGGCCTCGCTCCCTAGCAAACCTTTCTCTCGGCAGCAAACTCCCAACAGGTCCATGCGGGATGGGACATTCTGCAAAAGGCAAAATGATGGAGCCAGCCGAAGGTCAGGGGTTGCCGGGGACTTGCAGGCCAGTGGGCTGTCCCCATGGGACGAGCAACGCAAGAGGACCCCGATGCCAGTTTTGACCACCAAGAGTCAGAGTGTTGATGCTGGGTCCCCCTGTAGCAGGTGCGTCACAAAGAGTGAGAGGCTGGGGGACGCCACTGGGGACAGTGCCATGGGCCCTGCCTCTAAGTCTGAGACTGCCCAAATGTAGACTCTGTCGATGCCACAAGACACTGGCTCAAAAGTTGGAACGAGGGGCCAGCGCTGTGGCACAGTGGGTTAAAGCTGCAGCCTGCAGTGCCGGCATCCCACATGGGCACTAGTTCAAGTCCCAGCTGCACCACTTCCAATCCAGCTCTCTGCTATGGCCTGGGAAAGCAGCAGAAGGTGGCCAAGTGCCTGGGCCTCTGCATTCATGTGAGAGACCCAGAAGAAGCTCTTGGGGTCCTGGGTCCAGATCAGCTCAGCTCCAACCATTGAGGCCATTTAGTGAGTGAACCAGCAGATCGAAGACCTCTCTCTCTCTCTGTGTGTGTCTCTGCCTCTTTCTGTAACTCAAATACAAAAAAAAAATGCAGATTCTTAACAAAAATTGCAAAGGAGTTTTTGAAAATTCACCTTTTAAAAATCCCAGCCCTTGGCCCTGTCAGTCACCACCAGTTGAACCAATCGCACACCGACCAGGTGCTGGCGAGGCAGGACCAGGGGCACAGTGAGTGCCTCCGAGGGCTCAGCCAGGATTAGTTGGGCAGAAGGGGCCCCACACGGGGCATCGTGTGACAAGGAGGCGAGGATGGACCCCAGGGCAGGAGCTGCTGACCAGGAAGGAGCCATGGGACCCACGTGACCGGGGCTCAGGGCCCCATGCAGGGCGGTGGTGTGGGCGCCTGGGTGGGCCAGGTAGGGCAGTTCTTGGAGGTCAGTGGTGCCAGGAGAACAGAGGAGACTTGGATGGAACCGGGACCAGCGCGGGGTCAGGGCAGGGGCTGAAGCGAGAAGAAGGCGGGACGGACACACATCCCTGAGTTTCCCCAGAGCGGGCTACCCCACACCTGCCCACCCCACCAGGGACCCAGGCAAGAGGTCTGTGCAGGAGGTGCTGCCCCAGGGGACCCTGCCCGTGGAGCCGCATCACCAGGGCCCAGGACGTCCATGTTTCCCACAGTACCGCCTGTAGGTGACTGATGCATTGTTGGTATTTGTGGAGGACTGACAGGCATAGCCCTGGACGGTGTAGCAAGCCTCCTCCACTTCCAGTTTGTATTTCAATACTGCAATGGCACGCACAGTCGTGCACACACGTGCCACAGTCGGGTGTCTGTGTGCACATGCGCACCTCGCCAGGCGGTATCTACAGAGAGAAGGCTCCCAGAGGCCAACACCGGCGGCTCCCAGGCTGCAGGCAGGAGCTGCCTCCCAGACGCTGCCCGGGCAGTGGGGGCTGTGCCCTGTAGTGCGGCTGCCCCACACCCGCTGCCTGACCTGTCCACTTGCACAGGAAACACGTGCACAGCCGCCCAGAAACCCGAGCAGTGAGGGTTAACAGCCTTGTGCTCTCCTCCAGGGAGATGTGTCCGGCTCCAGTTCCCGTGGCCGCCCTCTGGCCATGTCCGGGCTCCTGGATCCAGGTCTTGTCTGATGGGTGTGGCACAGCTCCTGGGACTTCCTGGTGGGTGGCACGTGCGGCGTCCATCTTCCCGGCTGCCCTTGAACTTCCTGGCTGTGTTGCCAGTTTTAGGTATCCTCGGGGTTACCTCTGAGACTTTAGCACACACGCCGAAAGCTGTTTCTGCATGCCCCCCCCCCCGTGCCTCCCCACCACGGCACAGGGCAGACCTGCCCCTCCCCCGGACTCTCTGGCCTCGCTGAGCCCTCGCCTGGACACCCTCCACGGGTGTCTGCAACAGCTGCACGGGGGCCTTCCACCGGGCTGTCCACAAGCCGGTTCTAAGGCGAGAGGCATCGACAGCTACCATGTGCGACCCCGCAAGCGCCAATCGCGGTGGAGCTGGGCGCCCGGCGGGCCGAGGACCAGGACACGTTCTACCGCTAATGAAACTCGTGCCGCTGACGGAGAATCCTCCCTGTCGCTGCTCCTGGCGCGCCAGTCAGTTCAGACTACGCGGCTTTGGGCTTCGGTTCTGCAGCTTTCTGCAAGGCTCACAGCGCTGTTCCCGGAGCCTGAGCTCGGCGCCCACCCCCACAGCACCCGGCGGGCACAGCCACACGGCTCACGTTGGCAGGGAAGGAAATGCAGGCACAGAGAGGCCAGGCAACCTGCTCAGGCCACACAGCTGCTGGCTCCGGAGCCGGGCTGTACCCAGGCAACCAGGACGCTCCTAACAGCCGGGCCCTGCAGCCGCCACCCCCAGGGGGTCCTCAGGACGTGGACAGCCCCTCCCTCCTTTCCGGGACTCTCCTCGCTGCTGGGTGGGGGCTCGAGTCCAGTGCGTGAGGGGCCGGCCCTGCCCTCCCCGTCGGAGGTGTGGCTTCCTTGCTGGTGTCCACCCTTGGTGCACTGTGCACCCTCGGAGGGCTCTCCAGGGCCGTGTGCACAGCGAGCTCTCTGTGCCCTACGACGCAGGTCCTCCCAAGCCACATGTGGAGTCTGTGCAGCACCAGGCAGTGTGATCCCAGCCCCACGGCCTCCCCAGGGGCTGCAAGTGGCAGGAAGGAGCCTGCGGTGAGCGCAGCCCTGGCCTCACTTGGGTTCTGGACTCCGGGCTCCAGAGCTGGAGAGGATCCACTCCAGGTGCTAAGAATATTCCAGAAGGGCTGTGTGGCGCGTAAACCTCCTGGGCCGCTGAATGTCAGAAAACTCCTCCCACTTCTCCTCACTTTGGTGGGCGGCGCCGTGGTCTGTCCCAGCGTCCGTGACCATTCTGCACGCAGCAGGGCCCCTCGCGGGAAAGAGAAGGGGGCACCATGCTGGCCCGGAGGCCCGGCCTCCTCAGAGCTGCTGCCCCCGCTCGGGGGACGCGGAAGTTTGTATGCATGAGCTCAGCCTTGGAGCATCGCCGTGCAGGAACCCAACAGAGCCAGCGCCCGGGGTCCCTGACTTCAGGCCGGCTCCACGCTGCCTGCGCCTCCCCTGTCCCCACAGCCACCGTCTGGCCAGGAGCTCTGCCAGCCCATGGAACAGACGCGATGACGGAGGCTGAGGGGCCGGCCGACTTCAGGACGTCTCGGAGCAGGCTTGGAGGGGCCACTGACACTTCAGTGACCCCAAAGGCGCTCGCCGCAGGCAGGGAAGCGGGGCTGGCAGGATGGGGACAGTGCTCCCACGGAGCCCCTGGCTTCGGGAGCAGGGGTTCACCCAGGAGCAGGAGGCGAGGGTCCGGCCCCATCTCTGCAACGCTGTGGGCCCAGCAGTGGGTTTGGGCGTGGCTTTGCCCACGTGCTGCACAACAGGTGCATGAACTCCCATGCCCTGACATCACTCTGTCATGGCACACGTCACTTCCATGTGTCCCAGGAACACAGCCCCCGGGGTCAAAGGCACAGACGGTTCTGGGGGACGAGGTGGGGAGGTCCCTCAGGGACACTCGGGGCCCGGCAGGGAAGCTGGCCCTGCCCTGAAGGAACCTCCCAGCAGGTGCAGGTTTCCTGGAGCCCACCTCCGACCTCTCCCCTTGATGGGGACACAGCGCAGGACCCTGGGACCGCTGCCCCTCGAGGCTGAGCTCCACCTCCACAGCCTGGCGGCCCCTCTTGCTCCCCTCTGGCTCCCGCATCCCAGGGAGCAGAAGCTCTGCTCCCGCAGCCTGACTCCCTGCCCAGCCCTCTGCCTCAGACAGTTCAGCATTCGGCTCACAGCCTGGAGAGGGGTCCAGGCGTGAGGAGGTCCCTGCTGTTCCCCTTCAAGCCACGAGGGGGCGCAGTGCTAATTCATTTTGATTTTACTTTTCCAGTAATCAACTACAAGAGTTCTCTCCACAAACAGACCCAACCGGACTCCCAATTTACGTGTCCTGCTTTCATTGTCAGTCTGGTCCAAGTACTTTCCCAGGTCCAACTTCACATCTCTTCAGTCCATGAAGAGATTCAGAGACACGACTGTTTCTGTAAATACATAAACACTGTCCTTCTGCTTTGATTTCCACGTCACTGTTCCGTGGCGAGAGGACACAGTCTCCTACGAGCTCTCTCTCTGGTGTTTGTGGGGACGCGCTGTGTCTCAGTGCACGGCCATGTCTGCATGTCCCAGAGAGTGCAGGGTCTCCCCATGAGTGACAGCCGTGTCTGCATGTCCCAGAGCGTGGGGTCTCCCCGTGAGTGACAGCCATGTCTGTACGTCCCAGAGCGTGGGGTCTCCCCGTGACAGTCGTGTCTACACGTCCCTTAGAGTGGGGTCTCCCCGTGAGTGACAGCCGTGTCTGCATGTCCCAGAGAGCACGGGGTCTCCCTGTGAGTGACAGCCGTGTCTACACGTCCCTTAGAATGGGGTCTCCCTGTGAGTGACAGCCGTGTCTACACGTCCCAGAGAGCGTGGGGTCTCCCTGTGAGTGACAGCCGTGTCCCAGAGAGCGTGGGGTCTCCCCGTGAGTGACAGCCGTGTCTACACGTCCCTTAGAATGGGGTCTCCCTGTGAGTGACAGCCATGTCTACACGTCCCAGAGAGTGCGGGGTCTCCCTGTGAGTGACAGCCGTGTCTACACGTCCCAGAGAGCATGGAGTCTCCCTGTGAATGACAGCCGTGTCCCAGAGAGCATGGGGTCTCTCTGTGAGTGACAGCCGTGTCTACACATCCCAGAGTGCGCGGGGTCTCCCTGTGAGTGACAGCCATGTCTACACATCCCAGAGAGCGCGGGGTCTCCCCGTGAGTGACAGCCGTGTCTACACGTCCCAGAGAGCACGGAGTCTCCCTGTGAATGACAGCCGTGTCCCAGAGTGCGCGGGGTCTCCCTGTGAGTGACAGCCATGTCTACACATCCCAGAGAGCATGGGGTCTCCCCGTGAGTGACAGCTGTGTCTACACGTCCCAGAGAGCGCGGGGTTTCCCCGTGAGTAACAGCGTGTCTACACCTTGTCTCCCCCCCAGCGTGGGTCTCTCCTGTGGGTGTTCTTCCCAACCCTGCTCCCCACCTGGCCCTGTCCGTGGAGCCCTGGGTGCACCCGGACTGTCCTGAGAAGACCACAGGAGACGGGGTCCTCACTTGCACGTAACGAGATGGCGTTGTTAGCGACTGCAGGACGGGCTGTGGCTGTTGGTTGGTGTTGGGGTCGGGTCTGGAGCCAGAGGTCGGGAGGCTCCCATCCCGGCCCCCGCGCCGAGGGGCTGGAAGATGAGAGCTGAAAGAAGCTCCCAGGTCCTGCCGTGGCAGCGCAGGGGGTTTGACGCCGAGATGAGCGACACGGCCACAAGACACGGCCACAAGCCAGACCCCTGGAGCCCCCAGGAGCAGAGAGCACAAGGTGGGGCCCTCCCCCGGAGCACCCCAGGGGAGCAGCTGAGCTCAGACTCCGTCTCCAGACTGGGAGAGAACGGATTCTGCTGTTGGAAGCCCCCGGTCTGCGGTGACCACAGCCACCTTGCACACCAGGACAGGAGGGAGGGGACAGGGCAGCTGCTCTTCTGCTCCACCTCTGAGCGCTGACCAGCTCAGACACTGGGCTCCCAGGGCTGACACTGTTGCGAGATGCAGCCCCCGACCGAGGTCTGGACAGTAAGACCTAGGGGGTCTGCTGCAGGGCAAAGGCACAGACGCCCCTGGGACGTGTGGGTTTGCGTCCCATCCACAGTCCCTTTGCCTGCCTGGAACTAGGACTTGATACATGGAGCTGGAGCAGCCATCCTGTGACCATGACACTGAAGTCCACATGGTAGGACAGGAGGAGCAACTCAAAGGGGGCTGGGTTCTTTTTTTTTTTTTTTAGTAAAATTTTACTTATTTCTATGTATTTGAAAGGCAGACAGAGCTCTCACCTGCTGGCCCCCAAATGCCTGTCATGGCCAGGGCTGGGCCAGGCCAAAGCCAGGAGCCAGGAGCTCCAACTGGGTCTCTCATGTGGGTTGCAGAGGCCCAAGGACTTGAGCCATTACCTGCTGTCTCCCAGGTTGCCCTGGGAGCAAAGCCCGGATTCAAAGCCAGGTGCTCTGATATGGGATGTGGGTGTCCCCAGTGGGTCCCGACCACCGACTCCAACACCTGCCCTGGGGCTGGGCTGCGGGACGTGCGCCACCGTGGCATCTCGCGCCCGCCCCAGCTGGCATCTGCAACATGGGAGCATAGGGGACGCGGACATCGCGGAGGAGAGGCCAGGCCGCCAGCCCTGGGTCAGCCCCACCCGAGGGGGGCTCAGCTGGCCGTGCCCAGGGCGTCGCTGCCGCTCTGAGAGCCCCACCTCCCACTTGGCCGACCCTCGGCTCCCAGCACGCAGCACAGGACGCGTGGGCAGCTGTGGCTTCTCCACTCGGAGGAAGTGCATTTCTGAGTCACCGACTTCCATCTGTCACAGCAGCTGAAGCCAATATTGTGAGAGAGGAAGCAGCCCAAATGGAAGGCACCCTGGGAGGCCACCACACAGCCCAGCCACGCCTGGCGCTTCAGGACGGCCCCAGGGGACACGCTGCCCGAGACGGGGACGTGACACCAGGTGTGGCCTGGGACAGTCAGACCTGTCCACATGCCCCAGAGGCTGCTGGGAGGTCAGACAGCCGTGCCAGCGTGTGAAAAGCGGCAGAGCCGGCGAGGCGGTGAGAGGCGACTCAGCTGGGAGGAACCAGGGGCCCGGCCCCGCCAGGAGCAGGTGGGGAGTGAAGCCGCAAGG